CGACACGAACTCATCATTTCTGATTGCTGCATAATATTCCATGGTGTATATGTGCCACATTTTTCCAATCCAGTCTATTATCAATGGGCATTTGGGTTGATTCCAGGTCTTTGCTATTGTAAACAGTGCTGCAATGAACATTCGTGTACATGTGTCCTTATAGTAGAACGATTTATAGTCTTTTGGATATATACCCAGTAATGGGATTGCTGGGTCAAATGGAATTTCTATTTCTAAGGCCTTGAGGAATCGCCACACTGTCTTCCACAATGGTTGAACTAATTTACACTCCCACCAACAGTGTAAAAGTGTTCCTTTTTCTCCACATCCTCTCCAGCATCTGTTGTCTCCAGATTTTAAAAAATTAGTCAAGCATGGTGGCATGAACCTGTACTCACAGATACTCAGGAGGCTGAGGTGGGAAGATTACTTGAGCCTTGGAGGTTGAGGCTGCAATGAGACACAACTACACCACTGCACTCCAGCCTGGGCAATAGAGCAAAACCCTATCTCAAAAATATTGCACATTCATAATTTACCCTCCTCAAATTTCCACATATATATATATATCAATATATTTATAGTATAAATGAAGGTATATCTTTTAGTGATTCAGCAAGAAATACTTTTTGAGAGAGGTGCATACTCAAAAAGTATGCAAACTTCCACTTCACAGGTTCAAAGATTACAGAGCTCTCACACTACAGGTGTCATCTGAGGACACAGAAACAATGAAGGAAATGGAATATCTGATGGCTTAGCCACTTCAGTTTCTTTGCAGCAGTGGCTGCCAGCCTCCCTTTATCACTGGAGTAATAAGCCCCTATATTCGCAACCATATATTCAATTATTAACTTCCCCCTTATCTGCACATATATTCACAGTGATGGTAGACATCCAAATGATCTTATTTTAATGCAATTATCATACACTTTCTGCCTATAAACATTCAAGTTCAATATTTTGCCTCCCAGGATAAGATGGGCATAGTTCAGTTGTCATAGAAATCAGAAGTACATCACGTTATTATGGTTAACGGCAGTTTTCTATGGCAACTGGATAGTGCAAATTCATTCTCAGAGGTCAGATTTTAATCTCTGCCTCAGAAACTTGAATCCCCCAATTCAATGAATGAGTGAATACTAGAGACTCACCAAGAGATATGCCTTAAAGGAAAAATCTTTCTATACAGTAATTTAGGGAATTCGTTTAGATAGGATTGACAATTCCAGCTTTCTTGTCAGACAAATATCTGTGTTCCAGTACCAGCATGGCATATTCTTGTACGATGTCCATAACACATGCCGGTCTGAAGGAGATCTCAGAAGTCACTCAGTCCTGATTCTGTTCTCACTACCACATGGCATCTAATGACACAAATTCTCAAAGAGGGAGGGAAATGAAGACATGTCTGAAATACTCCACTTCCCTTCAGTAAGTGCCTCAGATGTGAATCACAGAAGGAGTTAGAACTCTTCTGTCTACCTGCAACCAGCAACTCACAAACTCACAAAGACAAGGGTCACTTAGAATGCCAGATAGAGAAGCTGGTTTTCAGACGCACCTGTCAGCACATGCCTCTGCTGAAGATCTCTCTATGCAACACGTAGTGCATCTCAGTCATCGTAGAAATTGTATTTTCACCTAAGTCATGAGGTAAACTTCTCCTTCCTATGATACTCTAAAATTATCTGTAGAGCCAGCCAGAAACCATACTCCTGTCATTCAAAAAAGTCCACAGTCTTAAGAAAATAATTACAAGATTTGTTATTACATTAAATTATGTTATGACAAATTGTCTGACAAAATCAAAGCTACCAAAAGTAGGGGGGAATAACAAAATAGACAAAAATTGTCTTTTCAGAAATTAAATATTTCTCTTGAGAATGTTTTAATCTACATTCAATAGGGACATTGTTCTGTAGTTTTCTTTTCTGATTATGCTTTTGTGCATGTTTCATATTATAGTAATCCTGGCCTATCAAAATGAATTGAGAAATGTTTCTCTTCTCTTTTTTGAAAGTGTGTGTAAAGGATTTATTTTACTTTCTCATTAAAAATTGTAGACTGCATCAGTGATACCATCTGGATCTGGAGGATTCTTTGCATGAAGATTTTTAATTAATCTCTTTAATTGTTTTAAGTTTATTAATCTATTTCTTTTTGAATTGATTTTAACAATTTTTGTCTTTATATAAATTCGCTTGTAATTTCATGTTTCCAAATTGCCATGGCAACTGGTGTATAAAATGTGTAAAAGAATAAAGCTTTGAAGCAATCTATTATTAAAAAACAAAATTAAATGCTATGTATCCATTATTAAAATGAGGCAAATTTAAATATACTAACATAGAAAAATAGTAAAATAAAATCAAGTAATGGGCCAATAAGTAACAAATTGTGCCAGGCACTATAAAACGTGCATATTGAAAAAGATGCTATATTTCTTCTTAAGACATAATTACAGACAAATGCATAGGTAAAAGTACTTGAATGATGTACACCAAACTGTTGAAATCATTGCATATGAAGTTAGGGGAGTAGCTTTATGGAAGATTTGCTGAAACAAAGTTTTAAAATTCCTTTAATTTTTAAATTTTTACAAGGAGAACAAATTGATATTTTTACCTATGCAACTAAATATTAAGTTTAATAATACTATACAGATACAGGAAATGATAAGTCTAGCATGAGTGAAAAAAGTAGACAGACAAGTATAGCAATTTTAACATTAGGTAAAGCAAAATTCAAAGACACTAGCTTTAAGAAGACTTATAGGGATACTTTATAAATATAAGGCTAGAATCATCAAGAAAATTGACTGAGGTGACACTAAGAAAAAAAAACATACAGGATGGAAAAAATTTCCAATCCTTCTGTCAGACTTCCATTCTCCTCACAACTACTGATATCATAGACAGGGAGCTCTCTGGAAAAGGAAAGATGTAGACACAATATCAAAATGCAAAGAATAGAATGTTGAAGGTTTCATGGACAACACAGTTCACTTTTTGCCTGCTAAGACCACACACACACACACACACACACACTCAGACACACACGTCGATGCATTTTAATAATTTTTTTCATTTCCATACATCAATAAAACCTAATTACTACTTTTGCCTCAGAAAGTAAGTGTCCTTTATACAAAAAAATAGTCTCGCCATCTTCCGTCATTCTAAAAGAGAAAAAGTCCCAACAGTAATCGTATCCAAATATGGACGCCAGTCATTATATATTTTTGAATCAACATTACTCCTTAAATTCAGTCACTGTGTGAGCTGAATATTCCGTGTGATAAGGTTTATACTGCAAGTTTAACCAAAATTAACAATCAGTTTCTAAAATAATGGGAAGTATTATAAAAGCGATAGAAGAGGAAAGTAATTTATATATACTAATATATATAAATAAGAAGCAAAGAAAAAATACATATTGCTGATAAACTCCTCATTTCTTTAACTATCCACAGAGTTATAGTTAATATTTATATAAGTATTTATAACTACCTTATTGTACAGATTATTCCCCATTTCCTTTGTCTTCAGTCAGGACTTCATATCATCAAATTTCTACATCTCACGGTCTAACCCATTCATTCCTGAAGGTCAGAATCTGGCTTTTTATTTTAGTTATTATAGCTTTGTGTTAGTGTTTGCTACTACACATGAAATTACTAAAATTATTCCCAGAGAAACCCCTGATTTATACACATGCCCTCATTATGAAACTGCAACATGATCTCTCCTTGGTAAACAAGATCAATCACACCCAACAGTACAGTGATCCCATTATTTTCCAGTTGTTTCAGTGGCATGAAAAACCTGCAAGAGCTGGGAACCAGAGTCTACTTCCAATATAATTAATATCAGCATAAAACAGTATCTTCAAGAAAAAAGCAGCAAGACATCAGCAGCTTCTTGAAACAACAAAAAAAAGTGAAATTGGAAACGATGCACTGATCTCTTAATTCTGAAAAAATATTATTGGAAACTTAGAATTTTATGCATAGTGAGCCTAACCTTCAAAACTGAAGGCAGATTTCAGAGTCTGTCTATAAGAAGTGGAGCGACGAGTATAACATTATCCCCTTTGTCATAAGCAACCATAAACCTAGACAAAATAAATCAGAGACATTTAGAGAAAACCATATGCAACAAATGCAAAATTCATATTTCTTTCGAGTATATATGGAATATTTACAAAACATACCATGTGCCAGCCATAAAACAAAAACCATTTCAAAATATTTGAACACCAGATAGTTTGCCATCCAAATAAAAATGAACCTAGAAATCAAATACACGAAGAAATCTGAAAATTTCCAAAAGTATGTGTATATATATATTCTCTCTCTCTCTCTCTCTCTCTCTCTCTCTCTCTCTCTCTCTGTCTCTCTCTCTCTCTCTCTCTCTCTCTCTCTCTCTCTCTCTCTCTCTCTCTCTCTCTCTCTCAATAATAATCTACAAGGGTGATAAAGAAAGACTTCATACTGATGAAAATTAAAAGATATTACATAAAGACTCCCCGCCGGGCTGCGGGAGCCAGAGCCGCTCCTCAGCGTTTGCGCCAGAGGCCGCGGCGTCTTACTCGGCTCCCCGTTCCTTTGACCACCCCTTCTGCCCTGGCCTGGCGGCGCCCGCCTCCTTCGTAGCCACTCCGCCTCTTCCCTCCCTTTGTCTCTTCCTCCTCTCCCTTTTTCTTTCCTCCTTCCCCTCCTCGCCGCCGCCGCCCAGGACCGCCAGCCGGGGACAAGCTCTGGGCAGCAGCCAGTGGAAGCTGTGCACTGAGGGAATCCTAAAATTAAGACCTACAAGAAAAATCAGCTATGAAGCAGGTAGTATCTCTTCAAACAAGGGACCCACGCAGGGAGAATACTAACTCAGAAGGCTTGGCTGGTGAAGAGTTGGGGATCAGTGACCTGGAGGCTGTGTCAGGAATGGCTGTTTTAGCAGAGACTCTGTCACATGCATGAAGTCATTCCAGATCTTGAAAGCATAACCCCTACCGTAGAACTAAATGCACTGTGCATGAAACTTGGAAAAAAACCAATATATAAGCCTGTTGACCCTTACTCTCTGATGCAATCCACCTATAACTACAACATGAGAGGAGGTGTTTATCCCCTGAGGTACTTTTACCCATTTCCAGTTCCACCTTTACTTTATCAAGTGGAGCTTTCTGTGGGAGGACAGCAATTTAATGGGAAAGGAAAGACAAGACAGGCTGCAAAACATACTGCTGCTGCCACAGCGTTGAGGATCCTGCAGAATGAGCCCCCACCAGAGAGGATGGAGGTGAATGGAAGAGAATCAGAAGAAAATCTCAATAAATCTGAAATAAGTCAAGTGTTTGAGATTGCACTTAAATGAAACTTGCCTGTGAATTTTGAGGTGGCCTGGGAGAGTGGCGCACCCCACATGAAGGATTCTGTGACCAAGGTTTCGGTTGGGGAGTTTGTGGAGGAAGGTGAAGGGAAAAGCAAGAAGATTTCAAAGAAAAATGCCGCCATAACTGTCCTTGAGGAGCTGAAGAAGTTACCGCCCCTGCCTGCAGTTGAACAAGTAAAGCCTAGAATCAAAAAGAAAACAAAACCTATAGTAAAGCCACAGACAACCCCAGAATATGGCCAGGGGATCTATCGGATTAGCAGACTGGCCCAGATCCAGCAGGCAAAAAAGGAGAGGGAGCTAGAGTACATGCTTCTCACAGAGCTAGGCCTTCCATGCCACAGGGAGTTCGCAATGCAGGTAAAGGTTGGAAACCACACTGCAGAAGGAACAGGCACCAACAAGAAGGTGGCCAGGTGCAATGCAGCTGAGAACATGCTGGAGGTCCTTGGTCTCAAAGTCCCGCAGGCACAGCCCACCAAGCCAGCACTCAAGTCAGAGGAGAAGACACCCATAAAGAAACGAGGGGATGGAAGAAAAGTAACCTTTTTTGAACCTGGCTCTGGGGATGAAAATGGGACTAGTAATAAAGAGGATGAGTTCAAGATGCCTTATCTAAGTCATCAGCAGCTGCCTGCTGGAATTCTTCCCATGGTGCCCGAGGTCACTCAGGCTGTAGGAGTTAGTCAAGGACATCACACCAAAGATTTCACCAGGGCAGCTCCCAATCCTTCCAGGGCCACAGTAACTGCCATGATAGCCCGAGAGTTGTTGTATGGGGGCACCTCGCCCATAGCCAAGACCATTTTAAAGAATAACATCTCTTCAGGCCATGTACCCCATGGACCTCACAAGACCCTCTGAGGAACTGGACTATCTTTTCAGAGTTTAGGGATTTCAGGTTGACTACAAAGACTTCCCCCAAAACAACAAGAATGAATTTGTATCTCTTATCAATTGCTCCTCTCAGCCGTCTCTGATCAGCCATGGTATTGGCAAGGATGTGGAGTCCTGCCATGATATGGCTGCACTGAACATCTTAAAGTTGTTGTCTGAGTTGGACCAACAAAGTACAGAGATGCCTACAATGGACCAATGTCTGTGTGTGGGAGGTGCTGAACCTTTTCTGGCCATGAACCATTATAAAATCCCAACATATATACTGAAAATACTGAAACTGGTTTGAAAATTTGGAATTTCTGATACCTCCAGTGGGCCCAGAGACACGATGGGTAAAGGATGTGGGCAGCAGCAGGGAAGACAACAGAGCCATGAGGAGATGGCTGTGGCTGGGCTGGACTGTGCTGTGCTGGGGTTTGTTGTGACGGCCACTCGGTGACCTGGCAGTCCCTATGCAATAGCAGCTGCCTGTGGGGAAGAAGGGCTCGTAGCTGCTGACTCTCCCAGGACACCACCAGATCCATGCCCTGGGCACCTCCATGGTTGATCTTTGTTTTCCCCTGTGTGATAGAACAGAGAGCACGACCCCTTCTCAAGCTGGCTTACTCAGATACATTGAGACACACCCTGGACAGCCACACCAGAGAGAGGCTTTTGACCAGCCCCAGAGCGAAAAGCACCATAGAAAATCAGATGCTTCCTACTCAGCATGACCTAACTTTTCTAGCGTGCTATGGCCCCACTACCCACACCATCACCATTGCTTTCTCTTCCAACAGTGATCTGTATTCTTAGTTTCATTATTTTTTTTGATTGATATGACACTATATAAAATTTTCATTTGAGAGTTTCTCAATTGTATCTAGTTATATAGCACAGTTTGGAAACTTGTCTGAGACTGACTTCATCACTAATCTAACCGAAAAAGATCATATCCATGTGTATGTGGTTAGACATGTTTATTTCATTGACTAACCCCAGGACCGTTTCAGTCATGGAAATTGTGTGCTCTCTGGTTCAGCTGAAACAGTCCTGGACTTTGAAAAACCTTGAATAAGTCTCCCACAATTGTATAAATTGGACAATTTAGGAATTTTAAACTTTAGATGATCATTTGGTTCCATGTTTATTTTATTTTTATCTTTGTTAATACAAACAGGACTTAAATGAACTTTGATCTCTGTTTTAAAGATGATTTTTAAAAATTGTGTATCTATACATATGGCTCTTGAGGACTTAGGTTTCACTAAGATGTAATGACATCTCCATTAGGGCTGAAAAGAATAAGCTACGTTTCTCTAGACAACTGTGTTGCTATTGATGTTGTATTGCTGTACACAGAAGTGTGCCCTAAGGCTCTGCGTGTGGTCCGTATAGGAAGCCTGGTAGCCCTGTAAGTTAACTACTGCTTCCAATCATTGTTTATGCTGGAATTTTTCTCCCCATGGAATGTAAGTAAAATTTAGTGTTTGTCACCAATAAATGGTAATACCAATTTTTTTGTTAATTTATTCTCAAATGCAACAACTGCTAGTTTGGTCCCCTTCCAACTTGCCCCTACACTTTTTTTATTTTTAAGAAAAAACTTTGTAATGCTTCTGATTCTGGGCATTTGTCTGGGCAAAAATCTGAAGATCTGAAATAACTTTATATCAAACCATTGATCAATAAACAGATATTAATAAAAAAAGATATTACATAAAATGTGTGAAATTCAGCTTTTAGAAAACTTTATAGGCATAAATATCTACATTAAGAAAAAACAAATATTCAATCAACAGCCTACATTTTTACTTGAATAGAAAAATTGAGCCAATTTAAGCACAAGATATGGAGAAAGAAATAAATAATGGGGTCAATACCATAGAAGTCTAACTATAGAGTAAATTAACAAAGACAAAATTAATAAAATATTTATAAAATTAATGAATTACATGCTGGAATAATCAAGAAAGAGAAAAAACACAATGAGCCAATACCAGAAAACAAAGAAAGTCTATCACTAGAGATTCTATAGACATTAAAATAATTTTGGAAATTTGTAAAACTTTTATGCCAATGCATTCCAAAACAGATGAAACTGACAAAGTTATTTGAAAGGACAATATAGCAACACTACAACACGGAGAAACAGAAAATTTGGATAGCTTGATAACTACGAAAGAAATTCAACTCAAAATAAAAAAATTTCCCAGAGGATGGGAGGAAGCCCCAGACCCAAACCATCTCAATATGAAGTCTATCAGACATTGAAGTAAGAAATAAGACTGATCTCTTTAATTATATTTTATTTTTATTTTCATTTATTTATTTATTATTGCATTTTAGGTTTTGGGGCACATGTGCAGAGCATGCAATACAGTTGCATAGGTACACACATGGCAGTGGGTTTTGTTAGCTTTCTCCCCTTCACCCACATTTGGCATTTCTCCCCAGGCTATCCCCCCACACCTCCCCCTCCAACTGGCCCTCCCCTTTTCCCCCCAATAGACCCCAGTGTTTAGTACTCCCCTTTCTGTGTCCATGTGTTCTCATTTTTCATCACCTGCCTATGAGTGAGAATATGCGGTGTTTTATTTTCTGTTCTTGTGTCAGTTTGCTGAGAATGATGTTCTCCAGATTCATCCATGTCCCTACAAACGACAAAAACTCATCATTCTGATTGCCGCATAATATTCCATGGTGTATATGTGCCACATTTTCCCAATCCAGTCTATCATCAATGGGCATTAGGGTTGATTCCAGGTCTTTGCTATTGTAAACAGTGCTGCAATGAACATTCCTGTGCATGTGTCCTTATAGAAGAACGATTTATAGTCCTTTGGGTATATACCCAGTAATGGGATTGCTGGGTCAAATGGAATTTCTATTTCTCTAAGGCCTTGAGGAATCGAAGAATTTCTTTATTTCTGCCTTCATTTCGTTGTTTATCCAGTCAACATTCAGGAGCCAGTTGTTCAGTTTCCATGAAGCTGTGCGGTTCTGGGTTGGTTTCTGAATTCTGAGTTCTAACTTGATTGCACTATGGTCTGAGAGGCTGTTTGTTATGATTTCAGTTGTTTTGCATTTGCTGAGCAGTGCTTTACTTCCAATTATGTGGTCAATTTTAAAGTAGGTGTGATGTGGTGCTGAGAAGAATGTATATTCTGTGGATTTGGGGTGGAGAGTTCTGTAAATGTCTATCAGGTTTGCTTGCTCCAAGTCTGAGTTCAAGCCCTGCATATCCTTGTTGATTTTCTGTCTGGTTGATCTGTCTAATATTGACAGTGGAGTGTTAAAGTCTCCCACTATTATTGTGTGGGAGTCTAAGTCTTTTTGTAACTTGTTAAGAACTTGCCTTATGTATCTGGGTGCTCCTGTATTGGGTCCATATATGTTTAGGATCGTTAGCTCTTCTTGTTGTATCGATCCTTTTACCATTATGTAATGGCCTTCTTTGTCTCTTTTGATGTTTGTTGCTTTAAAGTCTATTTTATCAGAGATGAGAATTGCAATTCCTGCTTCTTTTTGCTCTCCATTTGCTTGGTAAATCTTCCTCCATCCCTTTATTTTGAGCCTTTGTGTATCCTTGCATGTGAGATGGGTTTCCTGGATACAGCACACTGATGGGTTTTGGCTTTTCATCCAATTTGCCAGTCTGTGTCTTTTGATTGGTGCATTTAGTCCATTTACATTTAGGGTTAATATTGTTATGTGTGAATTTGATACTTTCATTTTGATGCTAGCTGGCTGTTCTTCCCGTTAGTTGTTGTAGATTCTTCATTATGTTGATGCTCTTTAGCATTTAGTGTGTTTTTGGAATGGCTGGTACTGGTTGTTTCTTTCTATGTGTAGCGCCTCTTTCAGGAGCTCTTGTAAAGCAGGCCTGGCGGTGCCAAAATATCTGAGTACTTGCTTGTTCGCAAAGGATTTTATTTTTCCTTCACTTCTGAAGCTCAGTTTGGCTGGATATGAAATTCTGGGTTGAAAGTACTTTTCTTTAAGGATGTTGAATATTGGCCCCCATTCTCTTCTGACTTGTAGAGTTTCTGCCAAGAGATCTGCTGTGAATCTGATGGGCTTCCCTTTGTGGGTGACCCAACCTTTCTCCCTGGCTGCCCTTAGTATTTTCTCCTTTATTTCAACCTTGTTGAATCTGACGATTATGTGCCTTGGGGTTGCTCTTCTTGCGGAATATTTTTGTGGTGTTCTCTGTATTTCCTGCAATTGAGTGTTGCCCTGTCTTGCTAGGTGGGGGAAATTTTCCTGGATAATGTTTTGAAGAGTATTTTCCAGCTTGGGTTCATTCTCTTCGTCACATTCTGGTACACCTATCAAATGTTGGTTAGGTCTCTTCACATAGTCCCACATTTCTTGGAGACTTTGGTCATTTTTTTTTGCACTTTTTTCTCCGATCTTGGTTTCTCGTTTTATTTCATTAAGTTGATCTTTGACTTCTGATATTCTTTCTTCTGCTTGGTCAATTCGGCTGTTGAAACTTGTGCATGCTTCGCGAAATTTTCCTATTGTGTTTTTCGGCTCCTTTAATTCATTCATATTGCTCTCTAAGGTATCCATTCTTGTTATCATTTCCTCAAATCTTTTTTCAAGGTTCTTAGTTTCTTTGCATTGATTTAAAACATGTATTTTTTAGCTCACAAAAGTTTCTCATTATCCACCTTCTGAAGTCTAATTTCGTCATTTCATCACAGTCATTCTCCATCCAGCTTTGTTCCCTTGCTGGTGAGGAGCTTTGGTCCTTTCTAGGCAGTGAGGTGTTCTGGTTTCAGGTGTTTTTCTCCTTTGTGTGCTGGTTTCTTCCCATCTTTGTGTATTTATCCACCTGTTGTCTGTGTAGTTGCTGACTTTTCGATTGGGTCTCTGAGTGGACACCCAGATTGTTGATGATGAAGTATTTCTGCTACTTGGTTCTTCTCCTACCAGTCTAGCCCCTTTGCTGTATGACTGCTGAGGTCCACTCCAGTCCCTGCTTGTCTGGGGTGCACCTATAGCAGCTGCGGAAAAGCAAGGGATGCTACCAGTTTCTTTTTCTGGTATCTTTGTCCCAGAATGATGCCTGCCAAATGTCAGTCTTTTGGATATAGAGGGGTCAGGGAGCTGCTTGAGGAGACAGTCTGTACTTTGTAGGAGCTCAAGTGCTGAGCTGTGAGCTCTGTTGTTCATTCAGGGCTGTTAGGCTGCTATGTTTAATTCTGCTGCAACATAACTCATAAAAAAAAGCCCTTTTTTTCTCAGATGCTCTGTCTGGGGGCGGGGAGTTGGGGCTTTCCTTGTGAGTGTCCGCCTCACTGTCCTGCCCAGCTAGGAGGCAGTCTAGTCACTATTTGCCTGCCGAGGCTCCACCCTGCTGTTGTGAGGTTCACCCTGTTGCTGCAGGCTCTGCCCTTCTGCTGTGGTCCCCGCCCTGTTGCCACAGGCTACACCCTGCGGTGGAGTCTCTCTGTTGTAGCAGGTTGCCTCGGCAACGGCAGGCTGCATCAGCAATGGGTGTGTACCTCAGTAGGGGCTGATTGCGTCGGTAATGGCGGATGCCCCTCCCCCACGGAGCTGCGCTTTAAGAAAATCTCCTCACCAGGAGCGTTTGGAATCCCTGTTTTGTTTGTCACACTGCGCCACCCCAAACACTGTGTCCCTGGGATTTCCTGGGCTGGCTCCCTGTCCACGTCCCATTCAGTCTCAAGTTCAGCCCTCTCAAGTCTCAGTTTGCCGGTTCAACTGGGCACCTGTAACAGTGCGCTTTTGTATGGAGTGCTTTGGAGTGCCTCTGCGCTCCGGCACGGGCCGGAGCCACACTGGCTGCCGGCTACACCAGCCAAGGCCTGGCATCCCTCATCTCTTTTATACCTGGGAATTTCCCCATTCTATGGGCAACTAACATTCATCTGGA